GATGTCTCTAATTAAAGAACATTTTTTGCGTGATATATATATATATCTTTGTTTATGCGTACAATTCCTGATATCCTGTCAGAAGAAGCGCGACATGTCATACACAAGACGAAGGGAGAATGGTCTCCTGGCAAAAACAGCACCACAGTGAAACTCTAGAAATGCGGTAGCAAAGAATTGACAAAAATATTAACGCATTTGTTTGTAGGCGTCTAAAGCTCTAGGCAGTCGGACAGCCGCATCAGTGATTCTATTCTAAGACTTGCTTGTTGGTGGCACTTGTAAAGTCAGCATGCCCTTACGGCATGGTAATAATAGATAAAACAGGAGTCTTCAATATGAAAAGCTGTCAACGTCTTTCGTGGATTTGATAAAAAAAAGATTAGAAAGTGAGAAGAACGATCGATTGGAAGATTCACTGGTAAATATAAACTATTGCTGACGATTTTCAGACACTGAACGGTGCAGTGTATTGTATGAACTCTTATTCCTCGTTGACTTCCTGGAAACCATCCCTCCTGGTGCCGTTCGAAGAAGCAGATCGAAGCGATGCCCAAAGAATTACCGGATTAACAACTTAGCAGGTTTGAAGGAGAAACGAATAACTCCATCTCGTTCGTATAACAAGGGAGTTCCTGCAGCAGGAGGAATTCTTCATTCATGCAAGCTGCTATGTAAATGCCTTACAACCCAATGGGTCAAAGAAGATGAGGATATATAGTTAGAGCTGATCTCCATTTCGACGCCATCCGTCTGGGTGTCTTTTTTTTATAAATACAATGTCTGCAGTCATGTGGGAAGCTGCGCATAATATCTTTTGTTGTGTCAAAATGAGAATCGTCATAATGGCTGAAAATCGTAGAAAACGATTCACTCGACCGGAATTCGGTCACACAAACTTTCAAATTCAATGTCGGCCTTCTTTTGGCTGAGTTACTGGACTGTGAGTTCCCATTTGAAAACGTAGCCCGCATGTCAATAGTTTCACAGCACTGTCAATTTTTACAGTCTATGTACTTATCGATAGGAAAATTTACTGCTTTGAATGTGTAATCGTCTATATGTGAAGTTTATTTCAACATTTCTGAACGCTCAAATTATTCCTTTTCAGAGGAAAGCCAACTTATTTTGTCGATAGAGTTGGATGGCCTGAGTAGTCATAGCGATTCAGATCCTTATGTTCCGAATACGATGGTAGCCAGCAGTCCCATATATGGCTGCTGCACGTTCTTATGCCTTGCGTCGTCAAATGGATTTACGTTATGTGTTTCTCGTTGTTCCGAGATTCAGATTTTAACGTTCGACAAGAATTGGAAGTTCCTAGGTATTATCCAGGTGAGTCAGTTTACGACCTGCTTTGGCTGTTGTAATTGAATACTGGCTTGAAGCTGTTTGTTTGATAGTTGTTCATTGAGTGTGGTTGCTGACTATGAGTACTGTACTAAAATACTGTCTTCAGTGGTTTATTGTGTTTTGTTTGCACTGCAATCGCATAATGATTACCGTTGGTTTGTTACGTTCATTGCTATTTTAATGTGTCATACAGCTGTACCATTGAATAATGTACCTGCACTACGTTACTTTTACCAGATGATGTCAATTACTACTTTTTCAGAAGATACCAACAAGCGTTCCACTGCTGTGGTTGAGCAGCGTAAGTGATGCGGCCATTTTTGGTGGCAGTGGAACTGTGTTCATGGAAATCACCGACCAGGGCACTCGAGGTTCGGCTACTCTCCATTCAGTTGTAATGCATTGCGTTATGTTTGCTCGCAATTTTTAGATTTAGCTGTCCCGCTGTCACATCTTTATTTCGAAGAAACTATATGTATGGGTAATGCGATCAATGCGCATATTGTTTGCACTGACCCTCTCGAAATATTGGTAGTTTTCTCAAGTAAAAGTTTCTGTTGTTATCACTTACATGAGTTGGTTTACATTTTTAGGTTGTGCATTGTTCCTCGACTCTAACGCCAGCATCACAAGGCCCGGCGCTTTCTTCTGGTCAGGAGAAGTTCTCCAGTCCGGTAATTAAAAATGTAGTAAATCCTCTGCTTAAAGATCTTAACAGTTTTTCGTGTATCCCGACAGACGCTATGTAGTTAAATGCAGTTTAAGCGTTGTCGAAAGCGAAAATGTTTAATGACGAAACTCGTAATTGTGAGAACATCGTTAGCGAACAAAGCTGTCAATATTGTTTCATCTGTATTTCTTTCATTCACATTTTCAAGCGTAAATTGCAAACAGTGAAATTATTATCCAGTCAAAATAAAGCAACAACTTAAGATTAATGAAAACAATACCTAGAGTAGCACAGTGTGCCGGGGCTGAACTGCAGCATATTTCAGTCCATGCAAAATTGTTTTATTTGAGATACGACTAACATTTGCAACGAAGTATTTCAGGAAGGCACAGTTTGACGCGCATGATAAAATCAGAAAGGGGATGTAGATAGTTTTGACGAATATGAAGCTGCGTTTTGTAAAGTCACGCCCAAACTACACCCATTTAAGAGTGTAGTTTGAAAACATCCTTAAGGCAGTCTATGCCTTGATAAAATGTGCAGCATACGTCGCATAATCTGCAGAGAGAGATTATGAACGAGAAAGTGAGCTTGAGTCGAAGTTAAAACTACGGCTTCTGAAGAACCGTCTTTGAGCATTTAGTGTAATGTGTTTGGTTTTTTTCTTGCTTCCCAGAATGTTTCGGCTTGTGACTAAAATTAAATTCCTTCAGAGTTATGACGTGACAGAAATACCCCATGCCCATTCGCATTAAAGATGAATCTCAAAATATTTACCTGCAGGAATGGAGGAGTAGGGAAAGTGTACATTTAAGGGAGTATGCGCAACCAATTATTCACACTGTTATGGTGCTACGTTACATTTAACTTTGAAGAGAACTATCCTCCTCCATCCTTCAAAAAAAAGCTAAGAGGGAAAATTGATGGATGACTTTAATTGAAGCAGGTAGTGTTCTCGTCTAAACTTTTGTTCTTCGTAAGGTCACAGATCATTTCCAACGACTGTATTCTTCATTTATGTTAAAGCCTTATGTGATTCAACACATTGTCGAATGTGATTTGTGATCACGGAATGTTGTAAGAAAAGTGAGCCACAAGCTCTATTAAATTCAGTGGTGAGGGAACTGTTTGAGGGACAACGTATTAATTTTGGAGTCTGCTAAGAAGTCGTATGTCTCCTTTGCTGATCGAAACTGCTTGAAATTTTTCTTCCGATGTAGTGTTAATTTGACAATGCCAACAATGTCTTTCTTGAAGAAAGGCACGGTTTAAAATATCCCGTTTGGTATCTGATATATTTCTGACCTGGAGTACAAAAAACAGCGTTGTCGTTATGATAACGGAAAATGACGTTCGCTACCTAACAGACTTGGTAGGTGGTACAGCTGCAAAAACCAATCCTTTCCTTAATGATTCAGAATCAAACCTTTTTAGGAAATGATCCAACATAATATATCCACAAATGTTTCTGGAATATGAACGGTATAGGAGACTGAGCAGTTTAAGGATCACCTAGTTCTTCTTCTCCCGCAGCAGTTCTAACTGGTTAGTCGATTTTGATCAGATCATCGTTTATCCTTTCACGCTGAGGAGACAGGTGCGTGTGACAGTATCTCGAACGTTCCCGATTCTGTGCCTGCATTTGAGCTTCGGTAGAGACTACCCAAGTCTGGAGCTTTAAGAAAGACACCAGTTCTAGCCAGTTTCTTAATTTGGTTATTTCCTGTTTTGGTTCCAGCGCTTTCAGTTGTTTAATATTTCAGTTAATAAAGGAATATCTATTTTCACATGGCCACGCCTGTAGATTGCTTATGTTTGATCAGGACTGCTATGTGGTGTACGGACCGTTGTTTTTGCCAAAGACCAAAAATAACGGTTGAATTGTGTACTGTATAGCTACGCTGGCTTCGACGCTTAATGAAGTTTTAATGGCAGAACGTGGTCTCCCGTAAGCTAAAGTTACAAGCTGAAACTTGCTAGTCCAAAGTCACGGCACGCCTTAAAAGAGGCGCAGACCTGTCAACTCATCACAACCTTGCTGTTGTTAAACTGAGCTGGGAGAAATGGAGTAACATGCGACGATCTGGTCGCAGCAGCAACCAGAGAATCAAATAGAAAGTACGTTCTTCGGTGGATAGATAAGAGAGCGAAATTTGCAAACAACATCGCACGACGGTTTGAACAGATCCTGATGATGACCACTGATGTGAAAACCGAGTGGCAGCGCTTTAAGACCGGCATACTAGAGGCTGCCGATGACTGCTGCGAATTTAAACGGGGTAGCCTGCCGCCTGGAGGTCAGTGGAGAACTTCATAGCGGACACGAGAGATACAACTGGCAGTTAAACAGAAAACAGCGTTCAAGAAATGGTTTGGAAACAAAGAGCCTTTTACTCACGTGCGATATGTAGAGGCACGCAATGCGGCAGCGAAAGCAGTTTCGGAAGCCAAAGCTGATTCCTAGGAGAAGTTCAGTGAGGTGCTGGAGTCGAGTTTCAGCACGGCAAACAAGGTATTCTGGCAGACGATCCGCGGCTCCAAGGTGAAAGGAAGGACAGTCTTGAATGACAGATCTGGACATCCTCTTACCAAGGATAATGACATTCTTCGGCGATGGGCAGAGTACTTTGAGCAACCGTAGAAAGACTGACCTGACCTGTACAGCAGCAGGGATCAGAGATTACCATCTTTGTAGATGAAATTACACAAGCTGTGAAAAGCTTCAAAAATGGTAAGGCTGCTGGCATTGATGAAATCCGCCCTGAAATCCTCAAGACAATAGGCGAACAATGCATGTGCTGGCTTACACGTGTATTAAAAACGTCATTGTCTACGGGATGACACTACTTGACTGTAGAATGGGAGTTGTTGTGCCCCTGTTCAAGAAAGGCGATCACAGGGAGTGCTCCAATTGTCTAGGCATTACCTTATTGAGTTTTTAGGGTTAAGTCTACGCAAAGAGCTAAGGTAGTAGAAGGAAGTGTGGCTTCCGGCCTAATCCTAGCTCCTTTAACCGTATATTTGCCCTGTGCCAGATTGTTGAAAAATCGTGGAAGTTCGCCCATTGGGTGATTATATACTTTGTTGACGTACG